CGGCTTTTGGGAAGTGGATACGACAACCGATCGTCTAATCAGGGCTTCCAGACGCAGGAAACAACGACAGACGTTGAGGTTCATCGCACTGCTAAGCAGAATCATCACTGGAAATCGTGCGGCGCGGTAGGAAGCTAGGATTTTAGGAATTTCTGAAATTTCCTGATTACGGAGGCTGACTGTAAGGAGATGACGCTGTCTGCTGGGTTAGGGTCTTTGTTATCTGAGAACCGAGCCAGAACAGAACCGCGGCGAGCTCTACTGATGAACTAGTACCAGCTTAGCGCGGTTCGGTTGCGCGTGCTCTCTTATGTTGGTTACCGTGCTCAGACCGATCTCTGCATGGTTGCAAAATGGAAGTGAAATGAGGCTTTAGACAAACTTTATTGTCATCTTGTACACAGGTTATACAAAATTAAGCTTTTCAACCGTGAATGAGCAGCTTAGCAGTGAAAGCCAGAGTAACAGGAGAGAACCTTCCACACCCAGTCAGAACCTGCATTTGGACCTTTCTCCTTGGAGGCCACAGATGTTAGCAGCTGGTTCCCCACACTGACAGCTGTTCTGCCTGCAGTGTTTTAGCACGGCTGCTTTAGCACCTTTAGTGGATGAATTTCCCTTTTTCAAAGAACAACATAGAACAGTTCTAGTTCTGGAACATCCTCAAGTCTTTAGTGTCTTTCTCAGTAATATATTTATACACACAAAATAAGTCTTAACAAGAAAAAAAAAGCAGATCAGTTTAGAGGTCCTCAACCTTTCTGAAGGTCAGCTGGTCACACTGACTCGGACTTGGAGGGGTGGAACCTCCTGGTCTGCAGCTGCGGTTGGGATGTTAATGTTCGGGTCTTCATCCACCTGGTAACACTTTCCCAGGTTCTTGATGATATTGAAATTGTAGCAAGCTGTTTCTGCCAGGCTATTTTCCAGAATCCAGCCCTCTGACTCAGACTCTGGGTCGCCAAGCCTGATGACGTTCTCCATCGCTGTCTGCAGATACCGGACTCCAGTCAGAACCAGCAACTAGGAGGGAAAAGATCACACGTTAACTGGCTCAGGTTATCCTGATCTATCTCTATAGTTCTGCTGCTATAGGCTTAGACTGCTGGAGGACATAGGGACCCCTTTTTCATCATTCTGCTTCATTCTATCTC